GGATGGTAACCAGAATACATTTTATACATGTCAAAGAACTATTTAGTATTAATGACGACTTGGAACTCTTACCACTCTGATTTAGTGACATATAGGAATCACTTTTAATGCATCTTTGGGGGGAATCACCCCATTCTATTTTTCAGTCCTTCCACGTATAGCTCAACCTTGCAATAGGGCTGTGCAGTTCCCTGGCTTCAGCAAGCAGATAGAGAAGAAGACAGAGAAAGATAATGGATTTTTAACTAAGTTGCCTGGAAGGAAGTGATCCCATCATTCTGCTTGGCAAGTATTGTGTACACATTACTTGACTTATAAGTCAAGACAACTAAGACATGTTGGCGTGCCATCTGCTTTCTTGGAAACAATGTAAATGGAGTCAGGATCTTTGGTGGACAGCCAGCCTTTCCCTGGCATGTTAGGAGACATGTAGAGGTGTATGTTTGCAAAAAGGTTTGGTATAATACATGGCAAAGGGTCCAGAAATAGTTTCACAGCTGTAAGCTTGGAAACAGAATATGTGCCTGAGTTCTGGAAAGCTTCGTATCCATTGACCCAAGTTTCAGATGCATTTGGGCAGTTTATATGACTGGGCTAGATTTGGTATTAAGTTTAACCTTCCAAGCTTGGTCCTGCCAAAAATCCTGCTTGTCATTTGATACCTGGTATCTAGAGTGCCAGATTACAGACTGTGACTTTATACCTGCTGGCTGGGATCCTCTCCAAAGCTGGTAGAGCCCCTGGAACCATCACACTGAGCAGGAACATGAGTACAGCCAGTTCCTTGAGGCTTGATGCCAGGAGTCTCTATTGATTTCTTTTTTTTTTTTTATAGTTGTAATTAGACCAATTTTAAATTAGAAACAAACTTCTTTTACATGTCAATCCCAGTTCCGTCTCTCTCTCCTCCTTCCCTACCCCCCCAGCACGTATGTATCCTAATCCCTTTCTTCCCCAGGGAGGGTGAGGCCTTCCATGGGGGATCTTTAGAGTCTGTTAAATCATTTGGAGCAGGGCCTAGACCCTCCTCCATGTGTCTAGGCTGAGAGAATATCCCTCTATGTGGAATGGGCTCCCAAAGTCCATTCGTACACTGGGGATAAATACTGATCTACTACCCAGATCCTTCATCCAGTGGCTGATGGAAGCTGAAGCAGACACCCACGGCTAAACACTGAGCTGAACTCTGGAATCCAGTTGCAGAGAAGGAGGAGTGATAAGTAAAGGGGTCAAGACCAGGCAGGAGAAACTCATAGAAACAGCTGACCTGAACAAGGGGGAGCTCCTAAACCCCAAACTGATAGGTGGGAAACTAGCATAGGACTGATCCAGACCCCCTGAACAAGGATGTTAGTTTGGAGGTCTAGGCAATCTATGGGGTCTCTATTGATTTCTGATTCAATATTACTTTTGATACTCCTCCATTTACTATGAGCTCTTAAATACTGATACACCTAGTTGATTTATTTACTGGGTGTCTCTAATACATGTTGAGAACAATCTGCTTCATATCTCCTACCAATTACCAGATTGTTGACTGCATCGTGTGTGTCAGATGGTCACCACTAAGATAGAGCTTCATTTTGTAGATTTTCTTTATCTCTCTGTTGGCTGCTCTAATCTAGCTTCAGCTTCATAAGTGTCTAATTCTAGAAATTGCATGTGAAAGTAACTTGGTCATTTCCCACTTTAAGTCCTCCCTTTCTTTATGAATAATGCTTTACAAGTTCTTAGTCACCAATTCTCAGTACCCATACCTGGCCATAAACCCAGAGCCCTACTAATTCCCAAGTTCAATGGTGCCTTGCAAGCATTTATGTTCGCCAACTTTTGGTTCCTATCTTTCAGAAGTCCAGACAGATCCTTATAGTGATAGCCTGGGGACGAACTTCTTAAGTCATATAACTCAGCACAGAGAAGTAGCCCAGGCTTATCTGAGCAATGTAGCATGTCATAGGAACTCAACATCTCAGTATTCCCAATGTGACGATCATAGAATATAGATGAATCAAGTTCACTTAACCTTTTCACATACCTGAACTCCCAAGTTAGGTGGTATTAACAAGTGTAAGTGGCTGGAAGAATAATTTATATCTCTCCTATCTTGTGGAAAAGAAGGCAAAAGTGAGTGAACAATATAAATTATCACAGCCTCATTGCTATTAGGCAGTTAATTTGTAAACAAACAAAAATCGGAAGCTCTGAGGAATGTGTAAGCAAATTACCCATTAAAGAGTTATTTCTTCTTTTGATGGCTATGCAGCAAGGAAGGACTATTAGTTATTCAGGCATCTGTACTGGCCTGTCCTTGGAGTTCTGACAGGATGCACCCTCAGCTGCAGCCACTAAGAGCACCACCATATTCACTATGCTACTTTTTAAAAGGGTCCTGTCCACCTCCCATCCCTCTCTCTCTCTCCTCCATTCCCCTCTCTCTCTGCTTCTCTGCCTCTCTCTTTTTTTCTTCAATTTTTATTTGAATTAGAAACAAGATTGTTTTACATGTCAATCCCAGTTCCCTCTCCCTCCCCTCTTCCCCTGGACCCCACTAACATCCTACCTCTCCCATACCCTTTCTGTTCCCCAGGGAGGGTAAGGCTTTACATAGGGGTCTTCAGAGTCTGTCATATCCATTGGGATAGGGCCTAGGCCCACCCCCATGTGTCTAGGATTAGGGAGTATCCCTCTATGTGGAATGTGCTACCAAAGTCTATTCCTATGCTAGGAATAAGTACTGATCTACTACAAGAGGCCCCATAGATTTCCGAGGTCTCCTCATTGACACCCACGTTAATGGGGTCTGGATCAGTCCCATGCTGGTTTCCCTTGTTGAGGTCAGCTGTTTCTGTGGGTTTTATCAGCCTGGTCTGGACCCCTTTGCTCATCACTCCTCCTTCTCTGCAACTGGATTCCAGTTCAGTTCAGTGTTTAGCTGTGGCTGTCTGCTTCTACTTCCATCAGCTGCTGGATGAAGGCTATAGGATGGCATATAAGTTAGTCATCAATCTCATTATCAGGGGAGGGCATTTAAGGTAGCCTCTCCTCTGTTGTTTCGATTGTTAGTTGGTGTCATCTTTGTAGATCTCCAGATATTTGCCTAGTGTCTGATTTCTCTTTAGACCTATAATGGCTCCCTCTATTATGGTATCTCTTATCTTGCTCTCCTTATTCTTCCCCAAACTCAACCTTTCTCCCTCATGTCCTCCTCACCTTTCCTCCTTCTCTCCTTCTCATTCTTCTAGCTCCCTCTCCCCTTCCCTCATGCTCCCAATTTGCTCAGGACATGTTGTCCCTTTCCCCTTCTCTGGGGGACCTCCTTGTTTACTAGCTTCTCTGGCAGTGTGGATTGTAACGTGGCAATCCTTTGCACTATGTCTTAAATCCATATATGAATGAGTACATACCATGTTTGTCTTTTTGTGACTGGGTTACCTCGCTCAGAATAGTTTCTTCTAGTTCAATCTATTTGCCTTCAAATTTCAAGATTCCATTTTTTTTTCT